CATTTATAAACCTGTTTTCTGTCCCACTTGGCTGGTCCTTTAGGAACCTGTCAATAGACTAGGGAAATCCAATTTTCAAACTCAGCTAAATTTCATTTTCAAAAGTGACTTCAGTGCTCAGAACTTGTCTTTAGTTCAGTCAAAGATATAATTATAATTCAGATAGGCTTCTCTACACTAGATAACTGTGTAAGGTACTGATGCTGATACTTCTGCCACAGCACAGGTGCCAGCTGGGAAAACTTGCAGTAAATCCTGGGATGGTTTTCTGACCCCTGCTTGCACCAGTTATATTGCTGCCAGATGTTTAATGCTGTCTTTGGTCTCACTATGCAAACTGTAGTTTTGCCCTTCACAGACTGGGTTTGCTTATGCATGATTTTAAATTGATATGCTTTACCTTACACTTGCAATGACTTTAAAACTTATTACATAGCTCAAATCCCATGGAAAGTGAACAAAATCTGAATTCCAGGCCAGGCCCACTTTAAAAGCACTAAATGAAGATCCTTTGCACAAACATAATTTCTAAAACATTTTTAAAAGTACAATATAAAACTTCAAGAGCTGATAAGAGTACCATTGTATAAAAGGCAGGAAGAGTCCAACTAATCAGTCAAAAATTGTTAAATTGAACACACTACTAGCACACATGGAGAATTAACATCTTTTAGTAGGAGTGTTAAGCAAAGAGCCAAGTTTGCAGCTAAATTGTGTTTTGCTGCATTGCAAGAGCCACCACAACGAATGTAACCCCTTCACAGCAGTAGGTTTCGTGTCTCTGGCTAAAGCTTACTCTAGTTCAGTAAGTCTGGAATGTGAGTAGGTGTTTATACTCACAGCAATTTTTAGAATGGAAAATACAAATCCACTCGTTATTTTGTTCAATAAAACATTCAAGCCCCTTGAGGGTCTCGTAGGAGTGCTCCTGTGCTGAGAAGTACGTTATTGAATTACAACATCACAGAAATGTACCAAGCTAAAAAATAATCCAGATCTTTTGCAGATATTTTGGCCCACAGTGAAATCTTATTGGGCACAAACAAACTAACAAAGTCCAGGGAACTGGTAAACCTTAACTCATTATGCCAGTAAAAGACATTACAAATACCTTGGAAGGAAATTTTCTCCTTTAGCAGCTGAAAAATTTTAAGGAAATTTGAAACAATGTATGAGGAGAAAAACTGAGAAAGAGATCTGTAATCAATTGCATAACTTTATCTGGAGACCCAGGCAGTATGTTAGCAGTTCAGAAAGAGCTTGTTGCAGATACAAGACCACAAGAATGGGTAAATGCAACTCCATAGAAGAATTGTGTAAATAAACAGATCTCACAAAAAACTACCACGTATCATTTCCTATACTTGCAAAGAGCATTCAGCCAATTAAGCTATTGAAATGGATTCCTGATTTAATTACTTGAATTTCCAATTCTCAGAACATTAACTCTTACATACAGTGAAATGGCCTCATGACAGCATTAGAACAAAATGAGATCACACCTGAAAAAAAGCTGTAGCACTTTACCTTGCTAGAGACTGCCTACTGAAATGAGAAAACAGCACATTTACTAAATTGTTTGGGAAGTACTCGCTGATAAGACATATAGTCAGCTTCTTTTCTCCTGCTAGGTTTTAAATGACACTGTCAAGGTGCTATATATTTGCTAATTTTAAAAAACATTTTCTCCCAGTCCTATTTCTAAAACCCTCTGGAAGTTAGTTGCTTCCCTAGCCTATAGAAGCATGTATGTAGTGTTTCTTGTGTTTTATTATGTGCATGTGAATGATTCATTACTGTAAGATTGCTCTCAAGTACAGGTTGACACTCAGAAATGTCCCAAAGTTTATGAAATAACTTGATTGCAATTCCAGTATTTTCAATACACTGTGATTTTTTGTCTAAGCAGTGTTTTACACACAGAGACACTTCTAGTACATTCTTTTACAAATATATTCCATAAAGCAATAAGGAATGGTCACACTGGTGAGTATTAAAGCTGCTACTTTTATTTTAAGAAATGTTATGATAGGAACAAATGAGGTTATTACACGATAATCATTGTGCAAAACAGGCATTTCTCAAAAAAATCTCTTTTCCTCTAATTAAAGAAAATTTACAGTTCCAAACTAAAGGAAGAGAAACCTCCTCATCAGTTTAGTGATTAAAAAAAATTCAACGGCTTTTACCTTCTCAGGAGAAAAGGTGTTGCAAGAAAGTACATTCCTCTCTATTCTGTTTGATATCCTGAGCCTTAGGAGAAGCCATTCTTTTTTTTTTGAAGCACCTGAAGGTGCTGAAAACCTCTGTCTATGGAGGAAACTTTATCCCAGTATCTCAAGAATAAATCAACATGCAGTACCATGAGGAGCGAAATGGAAATAAGAGAAAAATTTGTAGAAGCAGCAGAAGTTTTAACAAGTGTTTTGTTGAGCTACTCATTCTGGTACTGAATCAGGAAAATCTGGACTTTCTTAATTTTTAGTGTCCTATTCTGTCAAATCTGAATGTCAGTCAATCTGGTTGGTTTTGCAGAATTATTTGTGTGTTCGTATTTCAGAACAATGTAAGAAAATGGGAGTTAAGACCTAGTTTGCTTTTTCTGATAACCATCAATTTGTATTAGCTTCTAAGACAGCTGCAAACATACCACGTGGAGCTAAATACCTTTGAATCTGACAGTTACTTCACAATAATTTCTTGAGTTCGCTTTTAGAAGGTTCAGAAGTCACCTAGCATTTCTTTCACTGAGCTGGCTTGCTCTGGCCTTAAAGACTGGAATTTCCTTAAACTGAGAAAAGCATCTATTTACAAAGTAAATGTGTTTACAACCCATTTGAAGGGGGCAGGTATCAGAATGTAGTGTCCAATGGGAACCATGGAAATTTCATATACAGAATCACAGAATCCCAAGGGTTGGAAGGGACCTCAAAAGATCATCTAGTCCAACCCTCCTGCAAGAGCAGGGAAACCTAGAGTACATCACACAGGAACTTGTCCAGGCGGGCTTTGAATATCTCCAACGTAGGAGACTCCACAACCCCCCTGGGCAACTTGTTCCAGTGCTCTGTCACTCTCACAGTAAAGAAATTTTTCCTGATGCTCACATGAACCTCCTATACTCCAGTTTACACCCATTGCCCCTTGTCCTATCACTGGACATCACTGAAAAAAACCTTGCTCCATCATCCTGACACTCACCCTTCACATATTTGTAAACATTGATGAGGTCACCCCTCAGTCTCCTCTTCTCCAAGCTAAAGAGTCCCAGCTCCCTCAGCCTCTCCTCATAAGGGAGATGTTCCACTCCCTTAATCATCTTTGTAGCTCTGCGCTGGACTCTTTCAAGCAATTCCCTGTCCTTCTTGAACTGTGGGGCCCAGAACTGGACACAATATTCCAGATGCAGCCTCACCAAGGCGGAGTAGAGGGGGAGGAGAACCTCTCTTGACCTACTAACCACACCCCTTCTAATGCACCGTAGGATGCCATTGGCCTTCTTGGCCACAAGGGCACATTGCTGGCTCATGGTCATCCTCCTATCCACCAGGACCCCCAGGTCCCTTTCCCCTTCACTACTGTCCAGCAGGTCATATACAATCTAATGAAACAAGATGGAGGAAAAGAATGAACAGTTAATTTATACTTTTAAGGTTTTCTACATGCAGGAAACAGAATAATTGACATGGAAAGCCCACAAGATTACTTAAAATTTATTTGGAAGGTGAATGTACCTGAGGCAAAAAGTAAGAGACACTTTCATTGCACTTGTAAGCTGCCAAATCCAACTCTCCTTTGCAACATCATCCAATAAATCTTGCCCCAGGCACGAAAGGAGAAAAAAACCTTTAGAAATTTCTCCTACCTAAAAATTGTAATGTCAACCTTTTCCCTCAACTTTAATTCAAACAATTATGGAAACCATGAACTGAGAATTTTCATTTATGAAATATGTGTAGAGTAGCATAACGAAGGGGTTTGTGTTTCCCATTAATAATAAGACATGCACTACTACACACGTGGTCTTCCCTCAAAATCTAAATGAGACCAGACACTTGAATCATTTCAAACAACATCTCATGAGCCTAATACTATCTTTAGTTACAGAAGAGCAAGGCAAAGAAATCAGCAAGGAGGAAGCAAGGGCAGCACCAAAGCTCATCCTACATCTCTGACAAGCTGCAAAACTCGGGTCCTGGCCAAGACAAAGATGCCTTGCCAAATGGTCAGTAAAATCAATAGGTATCACAAGGAGCTGCTGTCTGAGAGGAAAAGGGCTTTGGAGCTTGGGGGATGTGGTGGGTTTGAGTTGTTTTCTTCTTTATGGACTCTCTTCATTCTGCTCCCCTGTCCTTACTTCTCGTTTATGGAATTTGTGTGGCCTATTTCACAGTGCTGCCACTGTGGGCAGACATGGAGGTCTGGAAGGGGAATAGTTCAGTTTGCTTCTGCTTCGGTATTTATTTTCACAAGATGGTAGTCTAATGGTGGGCTGCAAAATGCTGCTGAGCAAAATTTTCTAATAGCTAATTAGTTACTGTTAGGATGACTGAAGTCTGATATCCTGATATTTTCTTTGTTTTTCTAAGAAAAAGATAATTGAAAATTCATAGGATTTTATTTATTTGCAATACTTACATTAGCATGGGGTCATTTTCAGGTTCAAATTAACATATTTTAAAGTGGCATTTTAATGTTTAGAAACTAATAGAAAAGATTAATCTGAAAAGCCAAAAGCCTAGACTTAGAGCAGAACACTGATTTCCTTCAACTCACAGCTAAGACCTCCAGTTCTCTTATGATGGTGCAATTGTCATGAACAATATTTGCATTTTTTTACTCTACTGTATTTCAGCCTGAAATAACTCCAGCTTTTTATTAACTGCAAGGCTGAGTCTTATTTATCAGTTAGGCAGGTGTATTGCCTGATAATGCAATAAGCCTCCTTGGATGTACAACTTTTTTTATTTCTTTCATACCAGCAATCAGTTCCAAACAAATAACAAAAACAAAAGGTGGGTTTTTTTCCTTAGTGGTAACAGAGTTGTAAATTGTCACCCATCAGCAGTAACTATTGCCACTTAATAAAAAAATAAACCTTTCCTTAATCTCACACTGAACGTAATAGATAAGAATAAATAATGATATTAAAGTTGATGCCAAAATGAAGGACTGCTGCAACTGAGGATGTGCTGTGAAGTTATTTATGTAGATAACACAGTTCGGAAACAAAAAGGAACTAATTCAGTTGCAATAAAACAGATAATCCAAACTTTCCTGAAATAGAAATAGTTATAAATAGTAATAATTCTAACTCATTCTCCAAGTATTTAAAAGACAAAAAATTAGTCAGAAACACAAAGTAAATTAAATAAAAAAAAAAAATCAAGGCTGAATGTTCTTAATACTTGACCTGCAAAGCAGTCATAAGCTGTTCACCCACAAACAATAATATATCAGGATTTGACAAATGTTTCACATTTTATCACCACTTTTCTTTTTTGTGCAGTAAGACAAAGTGCATAGTGTGTACAACTTCCCCAAAGCACTTATACTAGCAGCAGGAAAGCCCTTTCCCAGCTACGCACCCGGTGCCTCACACTCAGAGCTGCCACAGTCCATGCAGCGAAAAGAGGTGATCAGCAGCTCAATAAGCCAATATCAATATGCACGAGCAGATCATGTTCCCAGGAAAACTGTCTGTGGTTGGACTGTTTGTCTTACCACCTGTCATCCCAGGAAGGTGACACTTCATCCTCTATCTTTCAGCTAGATAAAAATAGTCTTTTCCATTTGCACAATGAGCAGCTAACAACTGGATTGTCACTTCTGTCTTTCAGGAGAGAGGGATGCAGTTGCTCACTTGCACAGGGTCAGCGAGAGGAGCACAACCTTCACCTTAGGTTGGTAAGGCAACGGAGGAAGCAGAGCTCAGGACCTGATTATGCTGAGGATCAGTTGCTGGATGAATGATGCCTGCCCTAGAAGCCTCATACAGGCATGCATCTGCAATGCATGAATCTGAGGTTGAGAGGACAGTGCCCATAGCTTCCTATAAATCCTGAAATTCAATACTGGCTTCTCTAAATACAGAATTGCATTAACTACAGAAAACATGCATTATGATCCAGCAGTAAAATTCATAGGGCTGCCTTTTTTTTTTCTTTTTTTTTTTTACTCAAGGTTTAAAAATGGAAAATATCTTTCCTTTATCTCTTTTCTTGATATATAAGCTTTATAAATCACTGGATCACTGCCACTCCAGTAGTTTACACTGGGAAACCAATTTATATGAACAAATAATAATGCTATTTCGTTACTTTTTATTTCCTCACAGAGCTGACCAACTCAAGGCCAAGGAAGATGCAGATGAGGGACTCTCAGTATAGAAGACAAAGACACATGGGATGGAGAGTATGCCAGCGAGGATACACAGGACACTCAAGTGCAGTGTAGCATACCTACAGGCAGCAGATTTTATCCACTCCTTGGTCACCGACCATAATGGACCATTTTAGCAAGTCATTTGTGACGCAGGATTGCACAAAAAAATGTTGATAGAAGAGATAAATATTTCCTATCCCTAGTCACTTGGTATGGATTAGGGATAGATTTTGGGAAGTTGCACCTCACTTCACTAGCAAAAGTTCTTTTATGCTGGCAAAAGTACTCTATTAACACAGTTGTCTCTTCCAGCCCTTTCTGTAATACTTCTTTTTTATCTCATTCATCCCCTTTTTCACATTCTCCTTCCCTGCTCCCAGTCTTTGGCAGCCCAAGTAAGCAGCAGCTCTGTCCCTTTAGCTTTTAGTGTTCCCAGAAATGAAGCTCTGATGGAGGCTGGATCTTGAGAATGTGTCAGAGCCTGGGGAAAGCCTAGGGTCCCACATAAACATCTCCAAATTCTTTGACGTGGATCTTCAAAGAAAAATTTGTAGGGAAAAAAAAACCAGCTTACTACAAACATGTTTTAAGGACCAAGTGTATAATTTTTCCTCTGTAAAGAGAAAAAGGCTTCAAACTTCTTTCCTACAGGACTTCACATAAATAGTATAACATACAAAGGCATCAACTGGTACTGAGAGGAAATTAATTGCAAACATTTGCTGGAACAACAAGTTCAGCAAGACACCCAGTGTAACATTATAGACTTAAGTATTTGGGCATGAGAGTCACATTTCATGAACTCACTCATTACATATCCTAAGAAAATCATGATGTTCTTACTGAAGATGGAGAAGCGACAGAATTTGTTAGTCTCTGAAAATAATACTATATGCTTCAAAGATTAGCAGCGTAAAATTTCTTTCATATTAACTGCAGCAACTCTTCTGTTATAATAGCTTAACAAATATACTTAGGTTTTTTACAGTAAAGAGAAAATGATAAAGTAATTATTCACTACCCACTTACCTTCAAAAAGCTTTGAAACTATTCATTCAACATACTATCAAAATTCCACATTAGATTAGCAAATTGCAAATTATAATCTAGTGCAAACCTCAAATGGTGGCTTTTCAATCCCAGAGTGATAACATCATTTCCAGCTAAAAGGAAATAAAAACAAATTATTTTTTCATTGTGACCATGAAAACTTTCCAGTTACAATTCACATGCAATTCAGTATTTTATGCAGAAGTGAAGGAAGCAAGCAACATTTAAATGACAGAGTTATCAGTCTTTTTTGTATATTGCAGCTGTTTGGAAAGCCACAGGGCAAAGGCATTTATATATGAGATAAGCTCAGTCTGTAGAACAAATTAATGCTGGGTAGTGAATTAAATGGCATGTCTTCGGACAGCTAATTAGCTCTGTGCTGCTCAATTAAGCTTTGAAAGGACATGTTGTGTTTCTTGATGGAGGAGAAAATATTTCCAGGCTGTTTCACATTCTTGGCACTTTCTGTTTCTTTGACTGAGAAGTCTAAGAAGAAAAAGAAAAATCCAACAGCCTTACCAAAAGGTATCAAAGTCTAAACTATGAAGTATGCAACAAAGTTATTTTCATTAGTCACAAAAAATCTTTGATTTGATGTCAAATGCCTTAAAAATATAAGCTGGTTTTGGATAGCAAGGAACTACAAATCCATGACTTCAATGCTTTTTAAACTAGAAAAGCAGCAGGACCTCTTTAAGGAGAGGATAGAAAAGCTGTATACAGCTTTCAATGATTTGTTAAAATTGCACCTTTTTTTTCAGTTAATCAAAAAATTTCCACCTCTTTTCTTTCTGACTATTATCCTAAACTTGGGTGTCAGGCAATAAACAAATGCCATTTGGTTTCCTCACTCAATAGTATGAAACAGACATTAAAGGTTCAGGTCTTGATTCACTAAGAATGATGTTTCTCTTGTTGTTATCCAAACTCTTTGAAACTTAAGCAGTAATTGTAAACCCTCCCACATCAGATTTCTCACAAGAGCTTCAGTACTTCCATGTTTTTTTTCTAATGGTAGTAACTAGACTGCTGACTTCTAACTTCTCTTCTGCTTTCCAATCTAAAAGTAGAAAAGTCTGGTTAAATTATTAAAGGGGTAAAACTAAGTGAGATTTGTGGATAGAAGTTATGGTTTTCAAATCTAAAAACGTAGTGAGGCTGCACTCACTTTATCCTCAAGCAGAGGAATCTCTCTTGTAAAATGAGAGATAAAATTCTCTTTCCTCATTAAATTTCCACTGCTATGCACATTAATTTGCCATTGAGCTGCAAACTGCACATGAATATTTATTCAGTGTGAGCCAATAACCTCCAAAAAGAAGAAACCTGTGATCAAATATTGCCCTCTGGCATTGTGGACTTCATGGATCAGCAGACTCTTATCAGATTTCTGTACTGGGGTAATTTCTTCAGCCTGAATTTGAAAGTTAACAGCATTTAACTAGTATTGTGGATTGTGAAATAAACAGACATCAGACATTTCTCTTATAGCTCATTGAAGGTCACACTAACAAGTAGAGTACAGAATTGGGGAAAATTCTGAAGCTATGAAATGGCTTTGCATCTTCAGTCACCAGTTTTACTTACTGTACTTTTGCAAGCAAATTCTGACCTAGCAACTGCACCCCAGAGGCAGATGTGGAAATCCAGCCCAAGGAAGGACTGTTATCTACCAACCTGCGGTGTGAGTACGCACTACATATATAACAACCTGATTGTATACGTATGTACTCATGTGTATGTATTACATGTAACATTAAAGTGGGACAGTATAAACCTGCCTCTTCAGAGAGATTCCCTTTGCAGAAACAGAACAGCTGGCTACCTGCAGCTTTTCTATTAACTATGATTTTAAATATTTGTATTTCCAAAGCCTCAGTTTAGTATTGTACAGTTTGTAGCAGGAAACTCTGCCTAATTGTGGTTGAAAGAGCTCAAATTTCACCCTACTTACCTAAATTACCAATAAGGAAGGGGGGGTGACGCTGTTTTTAGTGTTGAAGAATGCCAAGACCAACCTGTTTTAACAACTCCATGAGATTAAACCTGAGAAATATCTGATGTTTCCTGACAGAGGTGACAATGGCTTATCTTGTGAAACATAGTTAATCTTTGGATGAGTTATTGTTACTATTCATGTTTCACTGAGCTAGTAAATCTAACCTGATAACAAATGACATACAGTCAATCACTTCATACTAATAAAAGCTTAGTTGCACCTTTTGGTGCCAGATATTCTAACACACCCCTCTCCCAGGAGTGTGTAGAAATTCCTCCTTGGGTGGGGACACTTATCAAGGGTGCTCCTTGAGGCCGAGCAAAGGAGTTTCCACAGTCACCTGTATCAGTGAGTAATAACAATATCTACTTAATTATTAAGTTAGCTCTGAATTATAGTATATAGTAGTTAGGCATTTATACTGTATAGTAGATATTAAAGTCCTTTAGCCCAATCATAGTATTAGCATTATAAATCATTATTGTCATTATCACTATCAATTATAACAAAGTCTTTATTTAATATATGCATATACTTTGCCACCTTTAATCCAGTGGGATGAAGGGCTGTACATTTTGATTATACATATAATCCTTTAGACATAAACCGTTGACCAAGTCTGGGATTAAATCCGGATCCAGCTTCACCTAAACTTTTCTCTGAGAAGTCTAAAAAGCAAAGGGATCCTCTCTGAACCTCGTGACTCAAAGGGAGGGTCTCCCTAAAACCTTTGTCCCACATGCATCTCCCATTCTGTCTGCAACACACCTACAAATGTGTGCATAAATACATGTGTGTGTTCCAGATATAAAAATATGTCACATACAATCATCCGTACAGATGACAGAAAATCCCTTTCAAACACATGCAGGTTTTGTACTTTACTTTCTTGCTTGACTCTGTCTTGTCCTCCTGCTCTTGAAACCTCTGTTCAGGGAGGAATGAAAAAATTCCTCAGAGTTAAGCAGGAAAGTCCTTGAAATCAGGGTTTAAATACACCAAGAAAGCAGTAGGTTTTATGAGCTCAAATGAAAACTCATCCAGAAGCCACCAGGAAACATTAATACTACCTTAAAAACCATTTTCAAAGTGATGTTGGAGCTTGTTGTATGGCTGTTCAATCTGTTACAGGCCTTCCAGTACAGTCATCCTTCAAAATTTAAGCTATACATGCCATCAAAGGCTTCATTGTGGTTTTCCTCAAATATTTACATGAATTAGCTCTTGATGCTTCCCTACTAAACTTGGAAGAGGAAAACAAAATGGTAGCAGGTGCAGCTGACAGGCACGAGTCCTTGTGGTAATGGGCAACTGTGCTACCCCAAACAGCACAAAAGAAACCTGCTCTCCACACAGAGAAGTCTGAGGACATTATCACTTGGGGCTGACAGCAGCTCTTCCATAAGTATATGAAGATTTCCCCTAAACCATATTTTCATTAGGAAACCTAATATGAGCTATTTATCAGATGTCAGCAGCAAAATCAAGCATTTCATTCTTTAAATATCAGAAAGAGAAAAAAAATCACATTTTCAGTCTCCTTTCTTCTTTGAGGAACACCTCTGTGACAACCAAAGGGCTGAGATTCTTGCAACTAGACAGGATTTAGATTTGTGCTTGCAACTGCCTGCACATGGTTAAAATGTTCAAATCCCACAGATGGCCTTGAAAATTTTAAGTCCTAGCTACTAAGCAAATATTTTCAATTATTTGGTATATTTTTCCCTTTTTTCTTTTTTTTTTTTTTAAGGTGCCATTAGTTTTATTTCTGTCTGGATTCTCTCTGAACATTCATACTGAAACAATTAATTAAGCAAACTCTGACAATACAGAACACACTTCAGCTATGCCAGGCATCATAAGCCTGTATGTAACACCGAAGTGCTTCATATAGAAAGCTGTCAGAATTGAGAAACAGCATTTGAGCTGTATTTAGCATTCTCAGAGTGAATCTGATGTTGTGTCAAGAGTGAAGAGTTAGCAAGAGCCAAATATGAAAGGAAGAGAGCTTGCTTTGTTCCAAGTCCAAGAAAACATTCCGCATCACTACTTCCTAAATTGTGTATGAATCCTGCCCTACCTTGTTATTCAAAGCCCTTAATGTGATGGATTTAAGGTAGAAATACTTCAAAATGCACCAGTGATAAATCTGCAACCATTAAACATTGTACTTTATCACCCCTGCAAACCCTGCAATGCCAGTTCTCAAACTAATGATATGAAGCCAGCACATAGGGGAACAGTAGCTCCTTGAGCACTGATTTCTAAGACTTTGCATAAGCTAGGTCACGTTTAAAGAAACCAACATGCACAAAAAGGAAAAGCAGGGAAAGAATTAAACAGAAAACTCACAATAGCCGAAACCCAACAATGTATTGTGGCAGAAACAAAATTTTTCTATTATGTAAGAAATAACAACATGTGAACTCTTCTTTCACAGGTATTATCAGCCTTCAGTCATACAGCCCATGTGTTTTGGTGCTGGCTACAGGGCACGTCTGGGGCAGCACACACTTTTCCTGTGCCCTGCACTGTGTGCTACAGCACAGCCTCAGTGATTCCTGCAATTGCACCTGCAATAATCAGGGCTGATGAGCAAAAGTCTTGCTTTCCTCAGAGGTTTCCCGTATGCTCCTTCCCAGCAAAGCCCCTTTTTTGCTCAGAAACCAACCTCTGTGGGAAATGCATGGCTGTGGGTAAGTTCTGATAGACGTTTCAACCTTAGCAGCCTGCGCACAAAGATTAATATTAGCAGAAACTTAGATAAAAGCTTGACTGTGTCTAATGCCAGAAACATTTCTTATTTCCTCTTTCATTATGAAAAATTATTTTATCTTGACTTTTCAGAAATACAGTATGATTGCTCTTTCAATTAGCTTAGTGTTCTGTTTTCCATTAGTACAGTACAGAATAAGTGTAATGCATTGTACCGTCCCAGGGCTTTTTTCAAAGATGCTGATTTACAGCAGAAAAGAGATTTTATGTTTCTTGCCAGTTGTACAACTGCTAAGGTAAAGGAAGCAGACATGTTAGCATTCATTTCATCTGCAGCTCTTTCTATTTCCCAAAAAAGGCTGCAGCAGGCAGTTCAACATAAAAGAAAGTTATTAAAAATTCTGCACCCTTGAAGCAATCTTCATAAAACCGATAACAAATTCAATTTTCAAGTTGCTTAATACAGCTTTCTCTTGACTAACACAGTTATCCTAACTTAAGGACCTTTTAAACTAATGACCTGGAAGGAATAGGGAATATTTCATGTGAATCTGTGCAAAATTTGAAGAACTGCTTCATACTCCGATTTTCTGCATCTCTTAGTAGTAGTCCCTGAACATCCCTCTCTGCCATGGAAACTTCCAGGGAAAAACAGAGCAATTCATAATGAAACACAAGTGATTAAGTACATTCAGACTCAGAGATATTAATAAGTTGCTGGTCACATACTTAAAAGAAAGTCATGCATAAGTAATGCCTTACAATTCCCATTCAAATATTACAATAAGTAAAATACTGAAAGTTTACTTAATTAAACCACCTAGGACCAGAACATGTAAGAAAAGAACTTCAGACTTCGGTTTTGAATTGGAGTTATGATCATT